TGTAATTATTTATTTACATACACATATATATAAAGACCCTTTCTACTTACCGGCTGTTCGCTTGCTCTGGCCTTGCGTCAGATCCGAGAATTTCAGTTGCTGCAAGTGCGAAAAATACAAAAAAAAAATCGGATTTTAACCAGCATCTCACTTCAAACAAAAAAATTACTCAATGTGCACGTGTGGTGCAAACCCCTTCGCCAATCACTATCCGCAAATGCGATTTATACCTAATGCTAATGAAGTATAGTTGCGTATAGCGTAAAGAGGTCCGGTAAGTACGGTGACATATAACAAAGTTACAAAGGAACTTTACAGCACAGCGAAGACTGGACAGTGAGTGGACTACGGTGTAGTACAGTAGAGTACAGTAAGAGTTGTGCATATGAGCTTTCAAGTGCAGAGATCGGACTACGGTATAGGATGGTATTGTACCGTGCATTTGAGTAACGGTGTGAAAGATATGTGAACAACAGCCATGGTAAGCAAGACAAGGTGAAGTATAGTATCAAGTATGGTAGAGGGATACAAGAAATCGTATAGGTAGGCAAAGATAAGTTCGGTACAGTACTGTAAAGTACAGTATAGTATAGAAATGTAAAAGCGCAGTATAGTAAGATGCAGAAAAGTTCAGTTTAGTAAGATAAAGAAAAGTTTGGTATAGTAAGGTAAAGAAAAAGCCGGGAAAGTTCTGCATCGTAATGCAAAGAACAGCACCGTACAGTGATTAAAATCAAACTGCAGCACAGTTTAGTACTACACACAGCCGATCCCACCCACGCACCTCCTTAACCTTGAAGTTCGCCTGCAAGTGCTTGATCATGGTCTCTGTGCGCTTGCTTGTGGCAGCTTCATACTCGTCCTCGTCTCGTGCTTCCTGCGCCTCAGAGGACTCAATGGTCAATGCCTGAGCGGTCTGTGACGGCACTTGTTCCTCATTGTCCATCGCAAAGCCGGCAGGCTCGTCACCAACGTAGGCAGGCACCTGTTGATAAGACCCAGAAGTGGGAATATGAGGCTATATGTATAGTGTGTGTATGTGTGATATATATGTGTAGGCAGGCGCCAGTTGACAAGACCCAGAAGTGAGAATATGAGGCTATATGTATAGTGTGTGTGTGTGTGGTATATATGTGTAGGCAAGCACCAGTTGACAAGACCCATAAGTCGGAATATGAGGCTATATGTATTGTGTGTGTATGTGTGGTATATATGTGTAGGCAGGCACCTGTTGACAAGACCCAGAA